CCCTAATATTTTCGAAAATATATGCGTGTGTTGGTAGTTCTATTTATTTCACCACCTACTTTCGAAAAGCTTAACATATGGTACGACACTACAACGTAGGTATTGACACCAAAGACCAAACCCGTGTCGGGTTTTTGGATTATTTTGCAATTTCTTTAATAATAAAATTGCAGATCTGATCTTCCAGCTTCTATACAATGATCACTTTTATGCCATAACTTCGAATTCATTCATTTAGGTCTCTGAAAGGAAACTTTCTTCTCACAATTCAATCCCTCAACTTTTAAAAAATATTCAATTAAATTTAAAAACTTCTATTATTATACACTCAAGTCATTTTCTGCACTAAGAATGAAAAGTCATGTAAAATTTATTGAAAATCACATCTTATCTATTCAAATAACAAAAAAATGAAGGCCAAAATAATATATTAATGCATATAAAATGCTTCTCATTAAAAGTATTTATTAAAACTACTATATAATTTTAGGTTGAGGGACTTTTAATCACTACTAATGAATGACAGGTTAAATGTCAAATTTAGTTCATAAACTTTTATTTCTAAACAATTTTAGTTCTTAAATTATTTTTTTACACTTTTTTCGTTCATCAACTATCAAAAATATATTTTTTATCCTTTCATTTGTTTTGTCCTTCAAGTTTGTCTAATGGCATTTTAAAAATTTTTTAATAACCTCAATGTGCATAAAACAAAGTTCAAGTACCTAACAACGTAAAACAAATATTAGTTCATGAACCAAAAATATGCATAAAACAAAAGTTCAAGTGTTAGAAAAAATGCCAAATGGGTAGACTTAACAGCAAAACTAATAAAAAAAATAAAGTGTATTTTACATAATTAAAGGATGAAAAAAATATAAAAAATAATTTACAAACTAAAAATTAAAAGTTTAAAAACTAACAAACAACCTAAATAATTCAGTAGTTATCTTCTTTCATTGGAAGTAAGAATTTAAAATTCGAATCGTATGACATGTGGGTGGAGTAGAATAAGATATGAGAGATGGTTACTTCTCATTATACAATTAAATTAAAAAAAAAACTTAAAAACTAAATTTAACCTGATAAACATTATCTTCGTTAATTAAGTTTTTTTATTATTATTATAAAAAAGTGACCTAACTTTGCTAATTAACTCAGAACCATACTAAATGTAGCACAAGAGAATTTTTCTTAAAAAGGGGGGTTAAACCTTTACAACTGTAAGGTTGGATGGTACACAAGTAGGTGGTGCAACTGAGGCAGAGCAAGAGTAACAGTGGGAGTGCGATTGGTCTCTAATTTGGGGTAGAATCATTTCTCATTTTGAAAATTAACTGTGTACTTAAAAGATATCGCGTCAAAGAGGGTATCCCAAGATAAAAAAATATATATATCTGCCTGTGAGTAACTGTGCAAACATCCTTTTTGTAAAATCTGAGATTACATAATGATGACTCGATAAAAAGGGCCCTCCCTTTTCTGCTCTTTCTCTCAAAATCATCATCCCTTTCTCCATCATGACCGTTTATTTCTTTGTAGGGCCCCACTTCACCACCCATCAAAAACCCTCCGTACAAATTGTTCGACATGATTTTTTTTTTTTTTTTTTAAGTTTGGGTGATGTACAGCTGTGATTCACATTCTCACCTTCCCTTTTAGGCAAAGACAAACTTGCCTTCCCTCCATTGCCAATTTAGCATCTTAACTCAATTAAATCATCATAAAAAAAATTATTAAAAAAAGAAAAAAGAAAAAAAGAAAAATTCCTAGCTACAAGCTGATGTACAAATTACAACAACTTTAATCATTTGATTAAGCAATTGCTAATCACTGCCACGTCAGAGTCCCGTTTTGCCAGATCAACTCTCTGCCTTCCTTCAAACGGCGGCTCTCAGCCTCAGCCTGCCTTGGCTAAGCTTCGAATATGGCTTTGTTTCAGACTTCACTACTGTGCAGTTGATCAGCCTGTGGCAGCAGTGTATACTATTTTCTATTTTCTACAGTATGGGATACCATGCATATATACATGTGTATATATTTAATGGATTACTCTATACATGAATAAAGTTTCTTTGTTAGCCTTTCAAAAAAAGAAAAAAATGAAACTACTTACATCTGTGATAAGTAATCAGATCTGACAGTCAGATTCTTGCATGGAAATGGACTGTTCTCTGATTTGCAGTGTCTATCAATTACTTATGTCACAACAGATGGCCGGTGCCATTTTTACCACCTTCATTAATCTTTTTTACAGAAAAGGTTTTTTAACCCTTGGAGGGGATGCAGAAACTAGAAAGATTTCAAATTCTTTTCTAGTCTGTCTATTTTGGGAGAAGTAAAAGAGATGAGTTCTGGCGTTATTTTAATTAATTAAATTGTTAAGTTAATAAAACAAATTTATAATAAATTTCATTTCTTTGCTTTTTCCTTCTATCAAATCAAAAAAATTATTAATAAATTATGTACGTATGAAAATTCATTAACAATATATATCTTCTTAATACTTCTGTGTAAACGGATTGAAAAAGAACATTCTGTTTGATTTCTCTTAACAGAAATGTCTCGTAAATATGAGGCAGTTCCACCTTCAGGAGTCATGATATTATGGTTCCGAGCAAGTTGGATTCAAAAACACATTCTTTTTGTCTAAACAAAATATTTTATGGAGAACCTTAATAAATCCAAAAGCAAAGTATTTTATGGTAGATATAGAGACAATATATACAGAGAGAGCGCAGTGAGCCACACAACACAAAGCTAGCCGGCAGCCGTTGGATTGTGCATTGTAACACACGTCATATGATTTCAGCGGTGGCCCTCCAAGGTTGAGCCATAATCATCCCTCGTGTAATGCTCTGACAATTGTCATAAAGTGATTGGTCCTTACACACCTTACGTATACACATCCTACAATTCTAATTGCCAAAACCCGCAAGTCACACAGGACAAATAGAGAGAGAAAGTGATGGAAGGATGATGAAAGTTGCGGTAGACTCGGATCCTGTCTCCCGAGAAAAAGGTCCAAACAAAGTCTCCAAAAACTCAAACACTAGTTTTTGAGTCTTTGACTCTCCATCTTTCACACCTAAACCCGAAAAAAAAAAAAAAAAAAATTAACCCCATGGAAACGGGTGACCAATACCCACAGCTGCCGGATCTCCGGCGTCTCCTCTCCCCAACCACCCATTTTCCGCCAACCCCTCAACCCACCCAACTGCCCTACTTTGCTCCCCACCATGAAACTTTCAATACCATGGGTTTTCCTAGTGGGTTGGCAAGGTTTGGTCATGTTCATGCTCATCAATCTACACCCACCACTGTAACTGGGGCTACTACTTCTAGAATGGGAATGTATGGGGTGGAGATGGAGAGTGGATGGTGTTTGGGGAATGATGGTGGGAATAGTCGGTGGCCGAGGCAGGAGACTCTCACTCTTTTGGAGATCAGATCCAGGCTTGATTCCAAGTTCAAGGAAGCAAATCAAAAAGGACCCTTGTGGGATGAAGTGTCTAGGTATATATTTTTCACCTCATCACTTGCAGTAGCATTAATTGATTTTCCCTATTAATTTTGGAGTTATTGGTTTTTGAATTGATGATATAAGAAACCCTAGTTTTGTTTTCCAAAGTAAACAGGACTTGCCTTTACATTTCCATGTAAAGGTGTAAACTTTTCAGCTGGATTGCTTACTGTCTTTGTTTTTGCTGCTTGAAATTAAAAGTGATGCTGAGTTAACTGAGAGACAGACCCAGGCTGCAGGCCAGGTGTTTTTTTTATTTTTTTATTTTTTCATTTTATAAACTGATTGATGATCTTCATATATACATGTAAACCGTACGAAACCATATTCATGAGAATTAATTAATCCATACATCTCTCCCCAAAATCATATAAAAACCTGGCATTTCTTTGGTTAGGAATATGAATTTGGAAGGATGGAAATAATATATTTTTAATCCGTATATATAGCATGTGTGATTAAAATATCCACACAAAGATTTCTTTATTTTAATCTTCTAATTATTTTTTGAATCTTTTCATACTTATAATAGCATATAATAGCATCAAAAAATTACTGTTAGTGGTGTGTTTTGGGATATATTCTGTAATAATTACAGCTTCTGAATCAGTGTGTTGATCCAAAGAAAGAAAGAAAAAAACCCTCTTCCACTTTGTATGCTGAATTAGAATGTTGATCAAAGCTTGTTTTCCAATATTCCAATATTTGTCAATTTTTAGTTCTTTTATAATATTAAATTGTGTCATATCTATATATAATATTTAATTACTATTATATTGTAATTTTTTATTCTCTTAATTTTAGAATAATGGCAGAGGAACATGGATATCAGAGAAGTGGGAAGAAATGTAGAGAGAAATTTGAAAACCTGTACAAGTATTATAAGAAAACTAAGGAAGGTAAAGCTGGAAGACAAGATGGCAAAAATTACAGATTCTTTCGCCAACTTGAGGCTCTCTATGGAGAAAAAGGCAACAATCGAGGTAGTTCAATCCAGCCGGAGACCAATGCTGCACAGAAGATCAATCTTCCGCAGACCCCTAACAACACAACATATCAGGAAAACCAAGAGCAGTACTACTCCATGAATGAACAGAAATTACTAAGTGAGAGCCTTAGTTTCTCCAACACAATATCTGAGTTTGAAACTTCTTCGTCGGATGATCACAATGAGCTTCAATCCATTGCCCTTACAATGGAAAAGCAGAAGAGGAAGAGCTGGAAAACAAAGGTAAAGGGTTTTGTGGAGTCACAGATGAAGAAGCTGATGGAAACACAAGAGGCTTGGATGGAGAGAATGTTAAAGACAATTGAAGATAGAGAGCAAGAGAGAGTGTTAAAAGAAGAAGAATGGAGGAGGGAAGAGACATCACGGTTTGAAAGAGAACACCAATTCTGGGCAAAGGAGAGAGCTTGGTTTGAAACTCGAGATGGCGCATTGATAGAAGCGTTGAAGAAGTTTTCAGGGAAAGGTCTAGAAGTGTCATCATCAGCTGAAGTGCCTGTGACCACAGAAACCCAATTTAGTCATGATCACCAAATAATAAGGGAGAACATTAAAGCAAGGCGAATTGGCATTGATGCTCTTAATGCTAATGGTACTGGGTGGACTGAACCTGAAATCTCAAAGTTAATGCAGCTCAGAACAACCCTGGAACCGAGATTCCAAGGGTATTCAAAAAAGAGTATTTGGGAGGAGATAGAGGCAAAAATGGTGAGTTTGGGATATGATCGTGATGCATTTGAATGTAGAGAGAAATGGGAGAGTATGCATAATATGTTCATCATGAACATGAGTGAAGAGAGTAACAAGAAAAGGAAAGAGGATTTGAGAAGAAGCAATTATTATCAGCAGGTTGACAGCACTTACGATGGCCAAGAAATTGGGAAACAAAGGGTTGAAACTATTGATTCTCCTTCTAGTTCTTATGTGGTAAATGAAGGAGAGAACTTTTATGGGTTGAAGATGATGAGTAAGGGAAAGAATCACATGTAAGGACATGAATTGATTTAAGCACTGACTAGGTGTTTTTTTTTAATCTTCTTCTTCTTCTTCTTCTTCTTCTTTTTCCTTTTTGGTCGTGGAAAGTTGTGGGTGTTGAATTGAGTAGATAGGGTTTTGTCTTAAAACAGGATGACAGAGAGGGAGAAGGAAAAGTCTTACTTCGGTTCAAATGGTGGTGTAAAACTGTAAACAGAACTGATACTCCCTGTCCCTTTTTTTTTTTTTTTTTACTTTCTTTTATGGCTTTATTGACCTATTGAATTCAGACAGAGTACTTGTAATTTTATTTGTGGCTAAGATTGCACATTGTATGTTTAATTTCCTCAGGAAGACGTACAACACAGTACTCTTATAATTTTCCTTAACTTGCAGGAATTAGATAAATCTTACTATTACTCTTTGTCTTTTCACTAACTTTACGCGTGCTGCCGCGCGCTTAGACGTTAAATATTTTACGGTAATTCAGACTGTTGAATTGTACAAAATTAGCATTGAATGAGGTGAGAGCTTGCTTTCTCATTCAAGATCTCTTTTTTGCAGTCTAACACGGAGAACTAGAAAGGAGACACATAAACAAAAATGAGAATAGTAAACAAAAACAATGTTGACATATAATGAATATAAATATCATGGAGGTTTAAGTGAAACTAATTCGATTTTTTTTAAATAATATTTTAAATTTAAATTTTATGAATAAAAAAATAAATTTTGGAAGAACTTTCTCTCTTATGGCATTTAACATGATTCGATTTCAAATTAATAAAAATTTAATATAATTATTAGATACTAAAAAGTTAATAAAAAAAAAAGGACAGAAAACAAAAAAAATGTGGAGGGTGGGCAATTGATAATTGTTTCAAAATCATAAACGAAATATGGGCTTGCCTTAGTGGCCCATTAGGATGGGGTTTGGGTTAGTTTGCTCGGTTTTACCTTTTTAGAAAGTATTAAAGGGACCGGCCCAATGCAATCAAACCAAGCCAATGAACATAGTTTGAATAAAATTGATTATAAAATAATTCATAGTTGATTGCCCAATTTGGTATTAATGGCTGTGTGTTTGTGTGGTTAGACCTACTTTTATTTAGTAATTAGGATAAGTAAATTACACGGAATAAATTAGGAAATTTATAATTTTTTTTCTTCCCTTATATTTTGGCAATGTACTAAAATTTTTGCACATATTTTTAGAAAATATTTTTTTATAGTATATAAATAATAATTGAGAATTTTTTTTATACATTGTTCTTGTTAAGTAGTTTCATTTTTGTCCCAAAAAAATTCATTTATCATACATATCCTAAAAAAGTATTAACCAAAGATATGCGTAAAAAAGGTCAAATGACTTATATTTTGAAACAAAGATAATAATATATATTATGATTTTTTTAACTTTAGGGTGCAAGTTAATGTGTGATAAATATATCTTTTTACAACTTAATTTGTATGAAAAATATACATGTTGATTTTGATTTAATCAATTAGTTAATTAAAATCATTTATGTGGCAATAACATTAAAATAAAAATCAAATTTTGTACTTTGTTATGTGTATGTAACTTAATTACAAAATAATGCATTTATTGCACCCTTAAAATATAAGGTAGACAAACTCTATATATTAACTTAAGTTATCAAAATTTTGAATAACTTTCTCGTATAACTTTTCTCTAAAAATAAAAATAAAAACCTCTCTCAAACCAAACAATCGTATATTAACTTAAGTTATCAAAATTTTAAATAACTTTCTCATATAACTTTTCTTAAAAATAAAAATAAAAATAAAAACCTCTCTCAAACCAAACAATCCTAAATGTGCTGAGAATTGACTCTCATCTATAACTTGAATCTACCCTTTTTAATTCCATTACAATTTTCCCCTTTTCAAAAA